AAAACTAATTTGATAAATTAACTGGCTGTCGGAAGTTTCGAGTTGCCAACCAAGTTAACAATACACCATTCATACAGTAGGTTTTCTTTTCTCGATTTGAGCTACAGTGATAACTTTCAACGTCAAAGTTTTTTTCGTTTTTGTTTTTCAGACTATTTGCTTATAAAAACTGTTTGATGCCGTTTCGAACAGAAAATCAAATATCAAATCTCAGCAAGAGTTTTTGCTACACCTACTTTTGCCACGAAAAATACAGTGCGCCTTAATCAAAGTTTGATTCTAACCTTAATGTTTTTGATTATCTTACTACTTTTTACGGACAACTATTTTTTCTTACGGTTTTTTACGTCAGTTTTTTGCTTTTCCGGAGTGTGTTAAAGCAGATCATTTTGTTTAGGAGAGTTCTAGGCAGACAAAAAAACGACTGTTATTCTAAATCTTTTAGGTCGCATAAAGGGAAAGACAAAATTTTCTTCTATACAAAATTTAGGATGGATGTTGATGAGCAATTTTCCAAGCTTGTAATTAAGTCTACACCTGTCTCTAAAGAAAAAGAAAGAAAGAATTTATTTCTCTAATCAGCATTAAATACAACATTGAATATATTTATAATTTAAGTTAAATGATGCGACTTAGAGAGGATAGACAACGGGACCTAAAGGTCCTCCAGGGTCTACCCTTAAGTTGTTCAAACATAAAGATTTAACACTAATATTTAATGAAAAAAAAAAAAAAAAAAAAAAAAAAAAAAAAAAAAAAAAAAAAAAAAAAAAAAAAAAAAAAAAAAAAAAAAAAAAAAAAACGAAATTTGAAAAAAAAAAAAAAGTTTTGAAGTAGGTTTACTTCCGTAAGTTAAAATTTTTTGTTGGCGTTACTGAAAGAGCCCATCAACTTTAACTTAAGACAACCAGGTTCACGGTCGCAGGTGAGTTTTAAAATAATTTTTAAGAAAAATAATTTTTTTTTTTTTTTTTTTTTTTTTTTTTTTTACTAAGTGTTTAATATTTTTCGAAAAATCGTAAAAATGGCCATATCTCCTAAACTACAAGGATTTAGAGCTTCATATTTTAGCACGAGAATCGGAAGCTAGAGCAGTTGCCTGGTAGCATTTAACCAACGATAATCATTTTAAAGAAAAAAGGAAAAAGGGAAAAAGTACTACAAATCGTAGATAAGTTTTGTTAGTTCGTCGTTTTGCAACAAAAATGTATTTTTGAAATTATGGTAAAACACTTTTACTTTTGTCTCAGAAAAACTTTCAATATTTTCAGGAATTATATTTTGCAGTCTCAATAAGTTAAAAAGCTTGCAAGCACGATATCGGATAGAAAAACGTTCAAATCTTTTCTTGCAAAGAGGTTCTAATAGTAAATTGTATTTTGAGTTTCTTGTTTGTCTCTGCCGATTATTAAAAACAAACAAATTGTTAAGGAAACTCTCTGAATGAAAGGAATTAATTGAGCGCAGAACAAATTTGAGCAATTCGTATACATGCAATTCGAAAACCGATAGAAAATTGTATTTAAGAAAAATGTCATTACAGGAGTACATTTTCTTTCGAAAGAACATAAATTTAATTATTTTCTTTTGTAAAAGAAATAAACACTCCAGTGAACTTCGACTGCAGCAACCGTAAATCAGAATTCCGTATTGTATTATAGGAACAACATTACTTCTGTAGTATTCTAGTAATTGTGAAAGCGGCACGTAATGCCTCAGTTTTGATATAATACCACATTGTTTACCGAGTCTCATTTTAACATTATTAATATGAGTTTGATAAGATAACTTACAATCTATATAAATTCCTAGATATTTGCATACGGGTTTTAGTATAATGTTACAAGAATTAAGCTTGAAGCGATAATTGGAAGCACTTTTTATATTCATTTGATTTGTTTTATCACTATTAACTATTAACTTGTTGGCGAGAAGCCAACGATCCAGCTTGCCAATATCTTCTCTAATTTGAGTTATTTGGCAACCAATTGCCGTCAGGTTGGTGTCATCTGCAAACAGTGTTACTTCAACTGATTTGCATGCTGATGGAAGGTCATTTACGTAAATTAGGAAAAGCAAAGGTCCCAGTATCGAGCCTTGAGGAACACCGCATGTTATTTTCTTCCAATCAGAGAATTGTCCATTTACTAAAACTCGTTGAGTCCGTTCAAATAAGTAGGTCTGAAACCACCGGTTACAATTTCCTCTTATACCATAAGATTCCAGTTTATTTAGTAGTATTTGATGATCGAGAGTATCAAAGGCTTTCCTAAGATCCAAGAAAAAACTATAAATTTCATTTGTATGACTTCTCATTCTTAGATTTTCTGTCAATTCAGCTACTGCATCTATTGTACTATGTTTGGTTCTAAAGCCGAATTGTTTGTTGTATAAAAGGGATAAATTTTCAAAGTAAGAATATAATCTGTTGTGCATTGCGCGTTCATAGATTTTGCTCCAAACTATTAGTAAAGAAATTGGCCGATAGTTGTTTTCATCTCGCCGCGATTTTTCTTTGTGGATTGGAACAATTTTGGCTTTACGAAGTTCGGAAGGGAAAACACCTTTAGAAAAAGACGCATTAATAAGTATTGTTAATAAAGGAGCAACAGCATTTTTAGAAGATTTGACAATTAAGTTACTGACGTAATCATCCCCAGATGTCGATTTATCGTCCAATTGAGAGATGATTTGGTGTATTTCTGGTTCTGTTACCTTAAAAAGAAACATGGAGTGATTTAATTTGGGTAAGCATGGTGGATCTATTTTAGGCAACTCTTTTTTCAAATTCTCTCCAATGTTAGTGAAGAAATCATTGAATTTGTCAGCAATATCTTTATTAGATGGATTTTCTTGGACTTGAAGGCATGAATCTAGAACAGGAATATTTGATTGGGCTAAGTTCTTACAATTTAATTCATTGAGTAACTTATATGTTTGTCTTGAGTCTCCAATGCAATGTCTAAATTTATTCATGTAATGTGTTCTTTTCTTGCATTTAACGGCGTTTTCAAACTTTTGTCTTTGTTTTTTAAAATTCACTAGGGTTTCTGGATTTTCAGGATTATTTTTCCATCTTCGATGGGCTGCATTGCGCTTATTTCGCAGATTTTTAAGATCATTGTTGAACCATGGTGGCTGAGTTTTGCTTCTTGGTGAAATTGCCTTTAGCGGAGCGAATTTGTCTAGGACATTTTCAAAGATACATTTGAATAAATTAAAAGACTCACTGGGATCTTCGGTACCCATGAGAATTTCTTCCTGTTCACTTAACACACGCTGTAATTCATTTTCAAATTCTCTACATTTTGAAGCCTTCCTCAGAAAAGATGTATCACGGAATGTTATCGATATATCTTTTTTACATTGCTTTATTGACCAATCTAAGAGGATTGGATAGTGGTCTGATATAGTTTCTTGTTCTAACACCGTGGAATTGGGATTTGCAATATTTTGATAGATGAAGTGATCTAAACAAGTTGATGTTGTTAATGATACACGAGTAGGTTCTGATGCAAAATACTCAAACCCATTCGAGTTTATAGCGTTCAGGTAATTAATGGTGAGTTGATTTTCTTGCAGTGTATTTATATTGAAATCGCCACATACAATGAAAGGGTCAGAATGTGTGCTATTATCTTCAAGAAACTGTTCAAGTTTGTCAGTAAAGAGTAACTTGTTTATTCTTGGTGGATTGTAGATGACGGCTATTTTTAATTTGTAATTGTTTTTTTCGACCTCCGCGAATAAAGCCTCTTCAAATGTGACATCTCGTTGTTTCAGTAAATTACAGTTTTTATGTACCTGAACCATCACTCCTCCTCCTCTCATGCCATTTCGATTTTGCATAAGGCATTGGTTATAACCATTTATCAGGTAAATTTTACCTTCATCTGTTTCATTTAGCCATGTTTCGCTTAAACAAATTATATCAGGTGGAGACTCAAGACTTAAAATAAGTGCTTCCAATTTTTCATAGTGTGGTTTTAAAGACATGATATTTAGGTGTAGCACAGAAAAATTAAAGAAATCCGCTTTATGACCAGATTGATTATTATAACAGGTAATTTGGGATAATTCATTATTAAGCACAATTGAGGGATTCACATTATCAGTCACGAAAACAATTCATGGTGTCATTGTAACTGTAACCAAGATCTGATGCAGCATGGAAAATATTTTGATATCTATACACTTGATCATTATTTTGGAGAGTGTATAAAATCATGCCCTCTCTGGTCCATGTTGATGCGATGCGCTTGTCAGTTTTCATAAGCTTCAGAAACTTCACTCGTGCTCTGGTGATGTCTTCAAATACTTTAACATTTTCAGTGGTGGGCTTGTCTCGCAAGGTTTTTTTTTTCCTCATAATTTCCATTTTGGCTATGCGCCTGGAGAACTTCACAATGATAGGGCGGGCTGCTACATTTTTGGCTGGTAATCGATGAGCAATTGAAATGTCGCCTTCCTCTACCTTTGCATTAATCTCCTTAGAGATGGATATAATCTTCTTGATTGTCTCTTCAGGCTGCTCTCTACTAGTTTCGTTTATTCCCAGTACTCGAATATTGTCACGTCTGTTGTATGTTTCCTGCTGTTCAGTCTCGCACAGGGTCCTTAAGGTACTTCTGAGTTCGCTGTTTTTCATTTCGTCGTTAAGCTCTTCGCAGATTTCTTTCTTAAGGTTTGCGCATTCGGCTCTTATTGCATTTCCTATGACTGTCTGCAATTCGTTCTTCAAATCAAGTTTTAGTTTTTCCAGAATTTTTGGGAGTGCTGTGTTGATGGCATTTTCGACAGCTTCTTCTATGTCAATACTCTGCTTCTTACTTTCTTGCTCGTTTAATGGACTCATAACTTCATTTGGTCTCTTCGGGTTTGATAATGATTTTGGTATCGGAGTCTGATCTTGGTATCTCAGGTTCGGTAGATTTGCTTCCTCGGATACCTCAAGCTGTTCATCATTTCCAATTGGTTGATTTGCGTTAGACATCTCTGTTTCTATTTAATAAGTTTATCACAACAATTAGGCTATTTGTTGTTCAACTCTAACTTTCTCAACTCTAACTTTTACAGTTGAAATTTTCAACTCTAACTTTTACAGTTGAAAATTCAGAAGTATTAGCGCTAAAAAATTCAAAGTTCTTGGCTCATTTTTTGAGGGAAATAGTCAAATGGCTTCTGGTATTCGACCAACCCTGAATCGGTCGAACGAAGGCTTCCCGGTCCAGCCAAAATTGAATCATGGATCAAATATGATCAAGCCAAGAGTCAAAAAGCAGGGAATCGAATCAAACCGGCCCAAATCATAAATCGAAAAAGGTCCATTTTGAAACCAGAAAGGTCCAGTCATATGTCGAACAGGCTCAAATTATGGGTTTAACAGCATTAACACATTACCCCAACAGATAAGAAAACCGCTCAATTTATGTTTTTTTTGGCTTTGCGAAGAAAAATATTGCCCATATAAAAATACGAACTTTCGCATAAACTTTTTCATTGAAGTGGTTAAAAGAGCCCAATTTTTAGTACGAGTGGTCCCTTTGTTATCAAGGAAAAATGGGCCCAATGGCACCCAATTAAGAGCCCCATGTTTAGAACAAGGCTCGTTCATCTGCTTCCATGGAAATGAGGGATCAAAAATTAAGATCAGCCAGTTATTTTTCACAAAACCAGTTTCCTCAAAGGACTTGAACCGATCCATTGAGTACACAGAACATCTGTGCTATCTCTAATCTACCAATCCTCAGGGTAACTGCTTCTTACTGTTTATTTAAACTGAATGAACCAAGTTTGCTAAAAAAATTGGACTCGTTTAGCTCTTTCTGCTAAAAATTGGTCTCATTCAGCTCTTTTTGCTACTAATTGGACACATTCAGCTCGCTAATACGGAAAATTGGGCTCATTCAGCAAGCTCCATGGAAAAAATAAGACCAAAATGTTGATCAATTTTGACCCCAACTTGAAGAAATGGGCTCATTCAGCCCCATATCGAGAAATTAGAAATTAAAAATTAGGCCTACTGTGCTAAAAATTAGGCTGAATTAGCACTATATGCCAAAAGTAATATGCCATAATTCTGCTCGTTTTTTATACTTTCGAAAGCAAATGTCTTGTAATCGGGATCTAGATTTTTTTTATCAAACCTTTCTAACTTCCAGGCCCCTTCAAAATTAAACCCGAGGTAATGCAATTACCTTGGCAACCTATGGTCTGAGGTTCGATTCCCGGGCAGACCTTGATATTTTAGTGAATGAAAATTGATTTTGTCCGTGAAAAACTGAATTTTCTGATTTCTGTTTAGCGACTTATGATTTGTCGGCTTAGTTGCCACACCACGGATTTTTCTTCCGATGTAAACAGTTTCTAGATTTTTTTTGCTGATCACTGTAAGCGGTAAAAATGCATATTTCTATTTTAACTAAATCAAACTGATTGAACTACAAAAATGCAAACTCGAACAACTTTATCGCTAAAGTTTTTTTTGACAACTTCTGACAATATAATTTTTCAGTTAAGTTCATAAATTCAGAATACAACAGGTCTAAAACCTGGATCAAGCAAGGTCTTTTTGTTGGTTGATTTTGCTGATCGAACTGGAACCTGATCTAAACTATATTTTATGATTGGATAAATTGGATATTTTACCACTGTAAAGTATTTAATATTAAGCAATCATAATCCATCTAACTAACAACCCACTTATTTGTAAGTGCTGAAATTACTTGTAATTTCAGCACCAGAGATATTTGAATTTAACTTAGAAATTAGTTGTCTCTCCAAGAGAACTTCAGCAGCCGCAACAAACCAGTATACCCTAGATCTATTGAGCCTAGCAGAGACTAGTTAAACACCCTGAGACTAGAAAGTATAAGAGTAAGATTAGGATCGGTATTAGACTAAGAAGTTGCACGAATCTATCCGGCCGAAAATAAGATAGCGTGACGAGCAGACGGTGTACTCTATCCGAAATTACTCTATGAGTTAACCACATCGATTTTAACTCATCTGGTGCGACCATAAGTCTCGAATAAGACCTTAATAGCTTAGAACTAACCAAAAATAGATTAGAATTCAGACAAACATTTTCAAAACGTTATACGATATTATTTTAATCGAAATGTCTCTACGACTCAATAGATCAGAGCCGATATTCCGAACAATAATAGAACTACCCGGAATTGGAAGAAGACCTCCAACAAGAGACGACATACGACAAAGTAGAAACTTACCATATAGTTTTATGATTGTACGGCAAAAGCCAACACAAACTTTTATATTTAGGATCTTATTAGCAATGAATTTAGATTTTCATCTGCAAACATAAAATTTTGAAGTCAATCTTCATGATCATTTCAGGCGCTAAACAAAATTATTAATGTACAATAACGATTGATAAAAAGATCTCAGATCGTTTTCTTAATTTCTGCAGTCTTATATAAAACATATTTGAAAAATATTTATTGAAAATGAAAATAAAAATTAGTAGCATGACAATAAATTGTTAGTAATCTTAAATCATTTGTTGTCCCAGCTTCATCACCTAAACATAACAGCAATCATAAGCTCACTAATATCATTAAAATACTATAATCTTTTTATTAAATAAATTTAAACCATTTTAAACTTAAATTCACTTAATTTTAAAATCGGATCATCAAGGCTTATCCTTGGATCTTAATTAATTTTCTACTTCACGAAATCTAAAACCTGATCATCAAGGCCTATCCTTGGATAAAAAAAAAAAATTTTGTTCTCCCCCACCCACTTAGCAAGTGTCTAACGACCTCAAACGTCGATTCACTATCCAACCCTTCAAAAAGACCCAAGATTATTAGAAATTTTTTAATAAAACTAACCATTCAAATTAAGATAAACAGTGAAGAACTCCGTTTATTCATCCTTCACTTGAACCCTCCTCTTACCAGACCCAGGATATATCTTAGACTTAGTAAGTTTAAAATAGTATCTAACGAACTACTTGCGTTCTAATTATACCTGAACCTTGTGGATCGATTTACTATTCTCCAACCCTTGAACACAATCACTACCCCTAAGTAAGATTAAGTAAGTTAACACCTTAGCTTAGACTGGCCACGAGAAAGTAAAAAATCATTCTTCGGAATCGATATACTTTTCTCTCCAACACTAAATAAAAAGACCCAGGTTAAGCTAACAAAAAAAATGTAAGGACTAACAGTCTAAGAAAATAAAAATACCTAACAACTTTTTGCATCCCTCATCCTAAACTTTATGTCATTCAAAAATCTAGGAAATAAGCAAACAATCGTTTTACACAACTGTGAGATAGATAACAATAAATACGATCTTGTAATCACACCTCATACACAAACAGTTGGATACATTAGAACAAAACGACAAAAAATAAAACGAAAAATTATAAACAAACAAAGACAAATCACACGAAAAAGATTTTCAAAAAATAGACCCGCAATTTTCGAATCAGAAACCAGCAGTTTAGATGAACTCTACAAATTAAAAGAGTCAATTGATAAAAATTGTCCCATTCACGATCAATTATATTTTTCCGATTCAGAAACAACTTCAAATTCATCAAAAAGAGGAAAAAGAAGAATAAAAAAGCAATAAAAACACAAACCAGTACACCTGTATAACTGAAATCAACCAATTAGACACATTGATAGCTATATATTAACAGTCATCAAACGAAAAAATGAGCCACACTCAAGGTTTACCCCTTCCTCATAGATGCACCCGATAATAGAGGGCAGCATGATTTTTGCAAGAATTTACTCGTAAATTTGTTTGAACCCGGAATCAGTCCATGCAAAGCAGAATTCCCAGATATCAAAAAAATCAAAAGACAAATTATTGAACATTATTTAAAAGACATATGTAACTTACACAACAATATGGAATCTACACCATAGAATTCAGTACACCAAATACGAATCATCGTAAATATGTAATTCAAACAGACAATCTTGAATTAGAATTTTCAAAAGTATTCCTAGAATATATCAAAAGCATACAATATCATAATTCACAAAGAGCAAACTCTATATTCACTAATGAAGTTTTCGCAATAATATATACCTATATCTCTATATTAGAAAAAACAGAATTTCAAAGTATCTCACCAACTGAAACATCCAAACATACAAAAGTACGAAATGAAATTACAATATTCTCAACTTTTCTACGTATAATCAAAGAAAATTTCACTAAAGATGATGTTTCACAACACACTAAACATGACTTACAAAAAATTTTGGCATGGTTTATAATAGATTTTTTCACACGTAATTTAGACTTAATTTCACAAGCAAGAAAACATTTCAGACCTCAAAATTCAAATGATGACACTGCCATTACAGAACAATCAGACTACATTTGGGACCCTGAATGGTCTCATCCTTCATTTATAAATATCCCACAATCTATCTCAAGTCAAGCAATAAGTACAAAATCTTATCACAAAGATTATGTAAAAGTAATACCACTAACCATCGATGCAACATCATTAAACTACAATGCATTTTTACCTGATACACGAAATAACAGTTTAAATTCGACCGTCATTCACAATGAAAACCTTAATGGAACTAGAAATCTTACACAACAACACATTCAAACACCATCACACTTCATAAATGAAGAAATTGTCCAAACAACAACAACTACACAACAAAGTATTTCACCAACACACCCAAATTTAACAACACCAAGAAATACAAATACTTCACTGGCACAAGTAACCTTACAATCAACCGTTAAACCTTCGGTTGCTCCAAAATATTCACATATGGATTATCAAACATATTGACCAATGACAGTACCGTCAAAAACACGAAAATCATTCACAGGAAACACCTTTGCAGAACATAATTATAATTATGCTCACAAACAAGGAACAAATCAACCTCCACGAAAAAATACACAAAATTTAAATCACGAATATTCTCATTATTGGAATCTCCCGAAAACATCGACGAATTCAGTAAATTTTCCAGATAACCCACGACCTACACAGGATTATATTGAA